CGGTGTCCTTGGGATCCGCCCTGCATAGTTGTATCCCAATATACGTATAGACATGTATGTATGTATGTATGTATGTATGTATGTATGTATGTATATGTATATATATATATATATATATATATGTATAATATACACACTTACTTGCAAGACACATACATATATATATATATACACAGATAGATAGGTTTAGATATAGACACACTCTTGTTTAGATTTATATTCAGGTATCCATACACGAACTGCTGCCTCAGACATATTACTCAACTACTGCCACTTCTAAGTCCTGATAAGCTGTTGACACATCCATTTGCTACGTTTTCAAGTGGTACTACCGTTGATTTTTACATGGTGGCCCTCAGTGCGAGCTGCTCCCAAGACTGCGCGCATTGCTTCAATAAAAAGGGGCTCTGCCATCGTACCAGAACTCGGTGTTTTGGGCCAGTGGTACAATGATCATCATGGTCTACCTACCTACTGGAATTACTGGAATTGCAAACAGTACTTGGTAAACGTGCGGGAGTCTGATTCTGCAACAACTTGGCATCAGTGTTGAGCAGTGGGTAGCTGCCCAAGTGAGTTCGTCGTAGTCGCTTCCCTGTTCAACGATCCCGCTGAATTGCTTGGTGGCCCATCGTCCTCGCAGCCTATCAGGACCCTAAACCCTATACCCGAAGCCGGTCCGTTGAGAAGTTGTTGGATGTCTTGAAACCACCCCGAGCTGGTTAGCATCCCTAGGTAGTCGAACTTGAGCCAAGCGGCATGGTTCTTAGACTGTGTCTTGTAGGATATTGGTTGAATATAGAGGCCTTAATAAAAAAGAATAGGGTTTGAGGGGTATACTCTACTATAATTACAATAAGGAACCCCCAGAATAGTATTGGTAATTATTGTATGTCGAAGAGTACGGGGACCTCAACAGTTCGGAATTATAGAACGACCCTCAGGCTATCCAGAACAGGCCCACTAATGACTGCATTGGGTTTCGCGATACCCAAGCTGAACCACCGCCCAGCCCAGAACCATTCAGACCCACTAGAGTCACTACAGAATATACTCTGAGGCATACAAGCGCTCGAACCACAGCAAGGAACACCTCAAACAGACCATGAGAAGCCCCACCCCCCAAGCCCCCATTTAGAGCCCCCTATGCTCCGACCCTAGTTCCGTAGGGTCGCACGGAGTAAATTACTTAGTTTAGTTTAATCTGAGACGCTTTCCCACATGTTAGTTAGTCTCCTTGCTCCGGTAGCGGAGCCCTTCAACCCGTGTAATTATGCAGCAATCTCCTAAGGTCCAAAGTACCCAATAGTCATATACTCTCCCAAATATTTAACCTAGATAACTACAATCCGTAACCAAAGTACCTTATTGTTGGGTCCTTCGGACCCTGAGGGAGTGGCCTACATATGGTCTTTTCCCCTTGCCTTTCCTCACTTCAACACCTGGCAAGACCCAGCCGGCTGTCCGCGCTCAAGGCACGGCACATGAAACTTACTTAGGCACAAACTTATGTAATCGCATATACATCCCTAAGTCCTAAACCCGAAACCCTAAGCCTAACCAATAACAAGTCTCGGCATCGACTGTGGGAACACCACCCTGCAGACCGAGTAAGATAGAAGCCTGAATAGTATCACGATTTAGGGTTTCGGCTTCTTCCCACAATGATCTAACAATCCGCCCCAAACCCATTCGAATTATTAAGGCCCCTGTACTATGATCTCCTCTAGTATTTCCTCTAGACGGGCCCTACAAACGTGGTTTTAATAGAGTTTTGGGGGAAGGTTATACTATAATCATAACAAGCCTAGACAAAGGCTCCATAATCAATGGTCCTGTGGGACCCAATTCCACAATGCTAGTCTATGTAGGACTCTAAACCCTAAGCCCTAAACCCTAAACCCTAAGCCTCTGGGAAGGAGCCCTAGAGTTGAATAGGTACTGTAATCATTTAGGCCCATCGCAAGCCTTACAATCCCTGCACCATGGAGTCCAGGGGGTCCTAGCATTCCTTAAAGAACCCTTCTATCCCCCAAACTTAATCTAGGGCTCTTGATTAATTACAATAGGGTTTTGGTTCTCTATTGAACTATAAATATAATAAGGACCCCCCCCCAAAAAAAAAAAAAATTGGTATTGGTAATTGTAAAGGCCCCTATATTACACTAAGCCATGCAACCTCATAGAACCGCTATAGAGCTTTGTATACCGGTCTAGGAAATTGAGGGTTTAGGGTCAACTAGACTTGACCCTGAATCCGAAAACCGTTTCGCCTCAGAACCCAAAGCAGATTCCGGGGTTGTGTTTAAGGGGGTATCACAGAGCCCTAAAGCCCTAAACCCTGCAATGGCGCATCGGGGTCCGCGGCTCCGGATCCATGACTTCCAGGCCGGCTCGTTTGAAGCTGTTTCGGATAGTTGTGTACACATTAGGGTCCCTTTTTAGGGTCGCTTTTATAAGGATGCCGTACTTTTCTTCTGGGGACCTAAAAAGGATCCGACCGACATGGTTACCAGCCATGCGCTGGTTGAGGACCCTTATGTCGACACGTCCCGTAAAGGATGTCCAAGAATTCATCCCCGCCATTGAGCGATGGGAGGATATGCACCGCCGTTACGCTCAGAGGAAGGACTGCGATCGAACCTTTAAAGGAGCCGCAGAAGATGGTGTCCCTTTTGGGGTTGGCACCTGAATCTCTGCAGAGCCATCTCGAGCTGAACATGTCGCGCCTGACAACGTATGATGCTCTGAGAAGGGAGATGGTCTCCTACACGGAGAATCGGAGAGTTTTCTGAGAACTACCCATGTTGGAGTGCTGGTTCAGTGTTTTCGGATTTTGGAATTTAGGGTACAGGACAAAGCAGGGGTTGAGGGTGAATTCGGGTTTGGGGGCTCGGGGGTCTCCATTATTTCGGCCCCCATGTTTATGCAGGAGTTTGTCCATCACCGCAAGGGCTGGAGAGCTCAAAGCTTCAAAGAACAGGTTCAGATCTCAGGAGAAACCCTAAACTCATGAACATGTCAGGGCTCAGGCTTAGAATTCAGGCTTAAAGGTAGGTTTATGTAGGGTTTAGGGTTGGAGAAGAATGTTGGTCAGCCTAGACCTAGACTGACTAGGGCTCACTTCGCGATAGAGCACTCTATACCCCAAACTCGAACCCCCCCCAACAGAATGAAATAAACCCTGAACGCCTTACCTAATCCCCAAGCCCTAGAGCCAAACTCTAAATGGGCAGTTCTCTAAACTCAGGTCCCTTTCAGGGTTCTTTTTTTAATAGGGGGTGCTGTACTTTCTTGGGGAAGAAGGACCCTAGTTTGGGCAATTCCCAAAGCCCCAGAGCTCCTCCTCCCTCAACCGGGCCATGAAGTCCTCAGCCCGAAGATCTCTAATTGATAAGCATTGTAAGGGGGTTTATATGGGATCCCGAACCCTGAACCGCTAAACCCTAAGCCCAAAGCCCCAAACCCTGAACCGCTAAACCCTAAGCCCTAAACCCTACACCCCAAACCCTAACCCCAAAACCCCAAACCCTGAACCGCTAAACCCAAAGCCCTAAGCCTAAAACCTCAAACCCTAAGCCCTAAACCCCTAAACCCTGAACCGCTAAACCACTAAACCCTAAACCCCACCGGAGGTTCAGCCCTGGGTCGCTGAAACACCGCCTCAGAGAGCTGGGTCGAGGCTTTCAGGGCTTTGGGTTTAGGTTTTAGGGTTTAGGGTTTGGGGTTTGGGGTTTGGGTTTCAGGGTTTAGGGTTTCAGGGTTTCGGGGCTTAGGGGGTGTAGGGTTTTTGGGGCTTACAGGGCTGATAGCGTTTATAGAAGGTTTAGGGCTTACAGCTTAACACTGCGGTCACGGCTTACTGTTTTGTCGGTTTCGGGCCTGGGCTTTGTGTAGGGTTTCAAGGTTACCCGAGACTCACCGAAAGGATACCTTAGAGGAAGTTTTGAAGGGGCCCGGAAAGGACCCCTTAAAGAAACCTTTCAAAAAACCCTTGAAGGACCCCTTAAAGTTGTAGAGGAAACCCTGATTGAAGAAACCTTGAAAGGACCCTTTAAAGGAACGCTTGAAGGAACCCTTAACGGAAGACCTAAACCCTTTAAACCTTTGATTACAGGAAGCCCTGAACCCTAAACCCTTCACAGAGCCCCTGGTAAAAGCCCTTATATGGGGGTTTCCGAAAACAGGGGACCCAAATATAGTACCCCAAATAGTAGGATCCTATAGGGTACCCTAATTTTCGGAAACTCCCAAAGGACCCTTTTGAAGGATCCCTTCCTCGCAGGTTCCCAGTGGCCGCAAGCCTTGGCCTTGCTCCTGTCGCGCCCCGGGCCGCAAGGGCCTTCAGGGGCCTCGAAAGGCCGTTTCCCCTACCTTCAGAACCCAAAACCCACTTTTTCGTAGGTTCTTATTGTAAAACCTTAATATGGGATTTATAGGGACCCTACAAAAAAGTAGGTTTTGGGTTCTTAAGGTAGGTATTAGGGAGGCCCCAAAGAGGGGACCCTTCTTAACCCTACGTCGGGCTCTCTTCAAACGGACCTTACTTACATTGAAAGGGTCTATATCCCCAAGGGTCCCCTAATCCTGACTCCCAATTTTTGATTTGGGCGGGTGGGTTGAGGGTGGGAGGAAGGAGGGTTTGCATTGGAAGGCTTGTTAAGGGTTGTGGTGGGGTTCAGCAAGGCTTGGGTTTGTTCTTCGTCTTTTTGGAGTTGGCCTTGCAGGTCTTATTTTACGGTAAGCCTTGAGGTCATTAGGAATTTCGGAGTGCACCTTAAAGTATCATAACCTATGTTAGTTGTAGGTAATAATAATACACCCGGATACAGAATTTATCGGGACCCTACACGAAAGTAGGCTTTGGTAGTTTAAGGCAGGGTTTAGTTTTACGGGTTTAGGGTTTAGGGTTTAGTTTTGGGGGTTTAGGGTTTAGGGTGTAGCCTTAAACCCTAAACCGTAAACCCTCTGCGCAGTGGATGTGCTCTCCTCATTCAACCCCGGCCCCAAACCCCAAAACCCGGCACCCTGAGCCCGAAACCCTGAGACTTCAGCCTACCCCCGTCAACCTCAAATAACCTACCTTTTTTACGAATTTATATAAAGAAATCGTAAGATTAAGGAACCCTAAAAAGGTAGGTTCTTTAGGCTTCAGCCTACACACTAAACCCTCCACCCCAAGTCTTTATCCTAGAGCTTAAACCCTAAACCCCCAAAAATCTTTAAAGCCTAGACCTTAAATCTTAATTGTTGAACTCCTAAGCCCTAAACCCGTAAACCCTAAACCCCAAACCCCTAAACTTACTCCCTCAGGACCGTCGTCGCCGCGATGCCTTCGAAAGACGCGGTCGCCGACCCAAGAGACCTGCAGTTTCTAGAGCTGAGTCCCCCAATACCCAGCCTTGAATTTAGGGGGCCTTGATAGTTAGAATAGGGCTTCGGGGTATTGTATACCATCATTATAAGAAGGACCCCCAAACAAAATAATAGGGGTCATTATTTAGGCCCCTATATTAAGCTGTTTGGGTTCTTATACTTTCGCAGTAATCGGAAAGTTTAACCCTTTGGTTCCTGTAGCTTCTTGGGGAAAAAAGAGAGGGTTAGGTTTGGGGTCTCTGGGGGTTTAGGGTTTAGGGCTTATAGGGTCTAAGGTATGGGGTTTAGCGGTTTTGGGTTCATAGGGTTAAGGGTTTAGGGTATAGGCTTTAGGGGTTTGGGCATTGGGTTTAGGGGTTTAGGGTATATAGGCTATAATCGGGGTATAGTTACGTAGGGGTATAAGGTACTGGGCGGTATTGGGGCTTGGTTTCGGGTCTAGGGTACCGGGTTTGGGGTTTACGGTATAGGGGTTTATAGGGTTTCCATGGGCCTATAGGGTTCCTTCCACCTTTGGGATTTAGGGTTTGGGGGTATAGTTCAGGGCTGAAGCTACTAAAGGGTTTGGCTTCGGTTTCAGGAGTAGGGTTTATAGGGTTTGTTCGTGCTTTTGGTGATTACTTTCTTGAAAGGCCCTAGTAGGGAAAGCTAAGGCCTTTGACTAACCAAGCGAACTATCTTCCCAGCCCATGGTGATAAGTCAGACTTCTCCGGCAGGGGATCGATCCTCATGTTGATCTTGGGTGTAATCCTGACCTTCTGCTCAGGACGAAGTCACCTTCAGTGCTGCCCAGAGTGCCTTAGAGGCACTCCCGGATTTCTCCATCCTCAGAATGAGACCGCAGACTTCATAATACAAGGAAACAGTTCCTGAGTCTGGGGCTTTTGGTTGTGACTTCTCGTTTTATGGTTCAGGTTTCTGGGTCTATAAAGGCTTCTTACAATAGTTATCGAAGTAATAGTTTCCCCCAACACCCCTTACTAATTATCAAGACCCTAGATTATCAGCCCTAAACCCTAAATCCTAAACCCTAAACCCAGAACTGCACACGAACCCTAAACCCCAAACCCTAGGCTTCATGGCATGATCCGATCCCAGGAGCCGGAGCTCCGATTGTTGCCTCCTAAACCCAGAGCTTCGCGATTTTAAACTTCGCTTCCCTTCCCAAAACCTGTGGGGCTCTGGGTTTAGGCTTTAACTCTATAGTACAGGCCATGAAGTTGGAACATTATCATCCTCATGCCCTTCAGGTAAAGTATAAGGCATCCTAGCAATAGTCATCCTAAATCCATGTTCCAACTGTCTGGGATTCCCTACAGACCCTTAACCGAAAAGAGTGTTTTTCGATTCATCCACTCGCGATGTCGTGCTACCCCTTTGTGTGTAGAGTTTAGGTTGTTTGTGAGTTTCAGAGACCTTCGAAAGCGCCGATTGAATCTGTTCTAGCCGAAGAAACTGATGTACTAGAATCCACGAAGGAAGACGCCTTCCTTAAAAATCAGTCAGCAGTTTGTGCAGTGGGGACACTAAGCCTATGAGCCCCAGACCTCCCCATAGCGAACGCCCAATCTGCTTCAGGAGCATTCCTTACGAGGGCTCGCTGATCATGTGCGGGTTTCCCTTTAGTGTCCCTTTTCGGGCAAGTTTCGGGTTAGGGCCAGGGGATGAAGGTGTACAGCATGTGGTTTGGAGTTGATGGTTGATGGATAAGTTGGAGTCAAATGTAGCGTATGTTATGTACCCTAAAGGGAGTCTATGCTGCCGTGAACCACTGCGGTTTTGCACCTGAAAGTCGAAGCTAAAAGCTGGGCCAGGGGTAGTACGTGCGCTCTTTTACCACAGGATGTTTTTTGGGGTTGTGTGGTCTTTACGACCCCATGGAAGCGTAAGAATTCCTAAAAAGAACCCGAAACATCCGACAATCCGAAGCCTAAACCCTAACGCCTACACCCTAAAGCATCGTTCCAGTCGAGATTCAAGGGCGCGTAGACTTTAAACGGCCTCAGCGAGAAGAATAGGAGCCTGGTTGAGGTATGTAGCTAGTATCTGTTTTCATTGTAGTTGCGGCTATTAAATATTTAGGTTTTTGTTCTTACCAGTACGATTGACCCTTAAGCCTAATCCCTGTGTCAACTGCACCAGGCAGGGCGGCAGTGGCAGCGTTCCTTGGACCTTTTTGCCTTCATGCCCGATGCAAAGATCTCTCCGGGCTTGTTCCTTGGTGATTCTTCCTTAAGCACCCACCTCTTCCGGGTTCTGCGCCTGTGGGCCACACTGTACCAGGCTGTTGTTCGATATTGACATCTAGGTTTGCATTCACATATTGAGTCCTATACTGTATCCTCCGTTCAATTGCATCAAGTACTCGGCGAGAAAGCTTAAGCAACAACATGTGGGTAGTTCTCTAAATTAGGGTCCCATTTTAGGTCCCTAATATAGTACGGCACCCTTATAAAAAGGACCCTAAAAGGGGCCCTAAATTAGAGAACTACCCATGTACCATGCAAAAGCAAAGACAACTGTGACCAGCACAGACAAGGCCGCTATCGAGCCCCGCCATCCTACACCGAAAATCCCAAACAACTACGCGGCCCACCTAGACCCTACCCATAGGCCCTAAAGTAGTTCCTTTTTGGGGTGCATATTTAGAATCCTATTAGGGAATCCCAAAAAGGAATTACTATGGGGCCTATAGGTAAACCCCAAACGCCCAAACCCTAAAGGACTCAAACAACCCTCAGCATCCTAAGCCCAGTGAGGATGAGCTACAGCGCTGCCCTCAGCGCATGCCAGAAGGGTGCTCAGTGGCAGCAGGCCCTGCAACTGCGACTTGGCAGTTGAATCTACAGAGTTTAAGGTTTAGGGTTTAGGGTTTGCTATCCTTGTCGGCTGGTATGTTCCTCGGGACCCCGAGTATCACTAGGGCTTTGAGGCCTAAATTCCATACTACACAATTTTTGTTGGATCTTCCTGGACCCTTTGACCTTGGGGTGACACCCCCTCCTAGAGCCCCCCAAACTACCCCATTAATAAGATCCCTTTCAAGAGTACTTGCAGGTCTCTGGGTTCAGACCTGAAGCCCTGAACCCGTAAGCCTTAAGCCCTCAACCCTAAACCCTATAAACCCTAAGCCCTAAACCCTAAACCGAACCGACGCCCCTGATCTTTGATTTCGACCACTGAGGCGACAGGAATTCCTGAGCTCCAGGATCCGCAGCGATGTGCATCTCGGCCACGAGTTTCTCCGGTTTAGGGCATTTTGGGTGTGTAAGGTTTATATATAGATAGTCTTGGGGGTTGAGGGTTATAAAGTATGACGATGGAGGTTTAGGATGAGTGAGGGTTTTTGGGGGGAGTCGGGCTGAGGGTGAGGGCTTCAGGGGTTTTAGGATCTGGGGGCTAGCGTTCGGAATCACTTGGAGGGTTTTGGGGGGCTGCGGTTGAGGGTTCCATGTAGGGCCTGCGATAGGGAGTAGTTCGAGCTGTCCACCCTACAAACCCTAAACCCTAAACCCTAAACCCTAAACCCTAAACCCTAAACCCTACAGACCCCGAGCCCGAGGATTCCACACAATGCATGCATCAGCGCTTGCGCGAAGCCTGCGCGGTGGGATTTGGCGCTGGCTGTGTTCCGAAGCCTCCCAACGCCGCTGGGCTTCGGAGTGGGCCGAAAGGCGTAGAGTTTAACTTTAGGGTTTACCTAAACCCCCAAAAGTAGGTAAAATAACGGCCCAACACCTTCCAAAGGCAATTTTTTCACAGACTTCTGGGGTCCAGGTAGATTCCAGGGTGTGATTTTGGGATCTTGACGCTCTGAGACTTTGGGCTGCCGGGTTGGAAGGCTCCTCAGGAAAGCTTCACTAAACCCTAAACCCTAAACCCTAGTCGGTGTTTTGGAATTTGGGGGGGATCCAGGATGCAGCTTGCACCCAGCCTGGTCTCCTACAGCGCGATGATCACCTGCTTGGAGAAGGGCTGGCAGTGCCTTTGACAGCCTTGGCTCCTTCAGTTTGCAGGTTTAGGGTTGAGGCTTTAGGGTTTAGGGTTTTAGGGTTTAGGGTTTAGGCTTTTGCAAGATTTTCTGCGTGATAGAGATTTTTTTTCTGGGCTTGAGGTTCTATACATACTAGCTCCACTAAGTGCCTTTTTGAAGTCTGGGTTTCACCGCTGAGGTTTACCAGGGAAATCGGTACCCTTCATTCGTTGTGCTGTTATTAAGGGGGTTTCGCCCTGCGAAGCTTCTGAAGCCCGAAAACCCTGAACTCCGAACACTACGCCCTCAAGCCTCAACAGCTCCAAACCCCACACTACGGTTGATGATGCAAATCCTGCATTACCCTTAATAAGGAATATACCATAATTCCCGTAGTTTGGGGCCCTTAGGGTAGTGCAGGGTTTATATCATCAACAGCAGAACTACTGCATCCTTACATTCTCGGAGCTTCATAACGCTAGGCACCGTTCCTAGTGCCAGCACGTTTTTGTAAGACCCAGTGAGTATATAAACCCTAAACCCCTTACCCCCTGAATCCTAAACCCCTATCTAAACCATAGAAACCCCCATAAATCCCGAATCGCAGGTGGCGCATGGTTGTTGAATTGCTGGAGGAGCTAGGAAGATCTGATCTGATCATGAGACTCTCGGTCCCAATTTGGAGGTTTAGAGCTCAGGGGCTTATTGGGGCTTACAGTAGGGTTTCGGGTTCAGGACTTAGGGTGTAGGGTTCTAGGGTTCAAGGGTTCAGAGGTATGTAATTGTGAAAAACAGGGTTTATGAGAGCTTTACAGGGTGTGTATGGTTCCTTGGTGTTTCATTGCTCAACGTAGTTTTATCAGAGTTCATAGTGCTTTAAAAGGTACGTGTAATCTTTTACCAGCTCGGGTTTGAATGTTCCTACTATAACTGACAGGTTCACGGTTGTTGGAGCCTGGAAGCTCGGCAGCTAGGCCAGGCTAGGCTTCTGCACTTGTGTAAGTTCGGCTCGGTTACTGTATAAGGCTTTGGCTATAGAGTTGCGAATAGAGTACCTTAAACCCTAAACTACCTTCAGCCCTAAACTTTAAACCCCTAAACCCTAAACTCTGAACCCTAAGCTCTAAGCGTAAAGGTTTTGTGGCCATACGATTAGGGGGGCTCGATGGTCGGCTGCTAATCTGGGATTTGCCTTTCAAGGGTTTAGGGTTTAGGGTGGAGGACGTAAGAAAAGTCTAAGAGTGAGGTCGAAAGGGATACTCCAGATAAACTGCCATTCTGGACTTTGGTCTTGAATAGCATAATGTAACGGGCCTAAACAAATACCAACGCCAACTTTGTTTTAGGGTGCTCCTTATTATAACTATGGTAGAATATACCCAAAATAACCTTGTTCCAATAGCCAAGGCCCCTAATTAATTACACTGCCATAGTTGCCACGGACATGCATGGACCGTCCAGGTTCCGCCTTGCCAGGCAGGCAGGTGGGACGCATTTCGTTCATAATACTTCAATGTGCCAACTTGGCCTTAAATCCCAAAAAATCAAAACGTACTTGTTTTAAGCCTGTAGAGCCGGGAACGGGCACTCCTGCCTTAAGCCTGCTCCGATGCGGAACGGGCACACCCCAAGATGGTTAGGTTTAGCTAGAGGCTTCAAGTACAAGGAAGTAGTAGGGCTTTTCGAATCTTTGTGGAATCACAAAGCCGAGTAATCCAAGGTGCCGACGTGGTCATCTTCAGTGCTGCCATCAGCGCACTTGAGAAAGGCTTGCAGTGGCAGTCGGCTTTGAAGACGCTTGGCTCATGTGGCATCTGTGCAGGAAGTCGCCGTTGCAGAACCCCCCTGTCAATAAACGCATGCACTTCTGTACATAGTATCATAGAACCTACGAGCGGCAAGCGTGGATTGAAAGGCTGCATGGGATGAGGTCTGGGGTAGAAGTCTGAACGTCGTTCCCTCAAACGAAAGCTTGAACCCGATAAACACTAAACCCGAAGTCCTAATCCCGAAACCCTAAACCACTATGCCACCAATCACTAACCCCTAAACCCCTAATCCCTAATCCCTAAAACGACCCTGGACCACTATTTCCGAAACCTAATCCCTAGACTGGAGGCTTCCAACCAGAACCCTACTCCCCTAAACCCCAACAGCCCCCAAACCCTTGCAATAATTAGGGGGTGTGAGAGGGTTTAGGGTTTATGGATGAGGGTTCAGGGTTTGAGGGATAAGTGGTTTAGGGTTTAGGGTATAAGAGTTGACGACTACGGGGTTTAGGGTTTAGGATAGTTCGGGGCCGGAGACACCTCGAGGCTGAAAAGATAAAGCTTCTGAGCACCGACATCCAAATACAGCGGAATCATTAGAACAGGGGGTTCGTGTGCATTCTACTGCTGACGTATGTCAGTTCTGTACTATTACGATTATTCCAGACCCCTATATTGCCCAAGCCTCGGATGTACTGCAGGACTTTCGGGATCATGGCCAACAAGAGCATCCTTCCGAATGCAATTTGCTACAACGCGACCATGAGCGCATGCCAGGCGTGGTTCGGGTACAGGGGTTTGAGGTAGCGGCTTTGGGGGTGTTCGGGGTTTGGGTAGCATTCTGGTGTTCCTTCTTTTGCTTATTGTACCTCACCACAAAGGTCCGCAGAGGCTTATCATAGTTGTTCAGGACTTTATGGGTGGTTGTCAACATTATGGTCCCTTTTTGGGTCCTTATTATAAAACGGCACCTATTATTTAGGGTACCCCAAAAGAGACCATAATTTTGACAACTACCCTTATGGTTGTAGCCTTCAGTACCCCTCGGGAAAGCTCGAACCTACACCAACCTCCTCTCCAAGCCGCACCTGCCTCCCGAGCCCGAAGTGCCCGAAGCCCGTGCATCATAAACTAGATCGCGTAAATAACTGCGTTTACGGCTCAGGAGTTTTAGGGTTCACACCTGACTTTAGGGCTCTGGATTTAGAGTTTAGGGATGTAGGGCCCTGGATATAGAGAAGGCCAGGGTTCACGGTTTAGGCTTCACGGGATTAGGCATGTAGGATTCGGGGTTTAGGGTTCCGGGTTTCCTGTCTGGCGCTTAGTAGGGAGTGGGGGAATGGGCTATAGGGACTACTATAAGCGACCTTAAGGGACAATTATCGGGATCCATTCCCCCATTCCCTACTAAGCACCAGACAGTTTCTGGTGCCAGGCAGGCGATGCCTGGCAGTCGGCTCTCCACCTCTTTCAGATGCAGACGTCTATGGGTTCTGCAGACTTGGTCAGCCACTGTCCTGCACCGGGTCCTTCAGGGTTCGAGGTTTAGGTTTAGGTTTAGGGTTTAGGGTTTTAGGGTTTAGGGTTTAGGGTTTAGGGTTTAGGGCTTAGGTGAGGCTTTGTGTTACCTTTGTGATGAACTCAGCTTTAACACAAGCTTAGGGCTCATATTCCAAGAGCAGGTCGTTAGTGCATGTTTTTTCTTATCGGGTTGGAGCTTCGTTGTTACGGATGCTCGTGTGTTCAGGCTGCGTCTAGGGGGGGCAGGAAGTTCTGGAACCTTATAGCAGGTCCTTGAAGCACCGTGACGGAGACACAATGCGTGAAGGCAGCAAGTCTTCTTAACGAATTGGCAATGAGAACATCTCTACGGGCTCAGTACTAAGCATCTAGCATATGCTGGGCCCGAACGCCTTCTTCTTTAAGGAACTTGTGTGGCCAACCTGTTTCTTGGGGCACGCCATTAACGATCCTTTGAAGATAGGCTCCGCACCCTCTCCTTGATTTAGGGTTCCCGCAGTCAAAATGTAGCAACCGGAAGGGGCACTGCTTAGAGGATCATGGGACTTAGTAAGTAGGGTTATAACTAAGGTAACTATACTTATAACCCCACTTAGGGACTTATAACCTTACTTACTAAGTCCCATGATCCTCCAAGTGGGGATCTTTGCAAGAGACTCTAAGTTGAACCAGGCTACACCATCGCCCTCCAAGCCTGTGCCATCAGCAGGCGATGGCAAGCTACTCGGCTCCTCTTCGGTTTACTATTCAGGTGCCGTTGGTTGTTGTTTAGGATCTAGGGTTCCGTCCCATGGCCCAAAATTGTTCGTTTTCGTTTGGACAACAGTCTTCGATGGGATCCTTTTCAGCTTCCCCGTGTGTCCAGGGCGCGCGCGTCTCTGCATGTGGAGTTAGGGCACACCATATCCTGAACAGGGCCACAATACACAACACGAAGCCAGGAAAAGGGGTTCGGGGTTTGAATCCTGTGTTAGGCCGAAACCTGAAAGCCCTAAACCCTGACGCATACAATCCCCTCAGCGTAATGGCAAACCTATCCTGGGCTGCCGAAGACCAGGGACCAGGACATCCCAAAGCGACCCGGTGCGTCTTTGAAGCAACTGCATCGAACTGTTAGGAAGCCGTGCGCCTGCACCAGAGTCTGCCAAAGATGCAGATAGCGCCCGACCCGGTGGCCTGCGTTGCGGTGCCTTGTCACCCTTGAGTTTACAGTCTGGGTCAGGAATTCCGGGCGTTATGGCTCCACAGGGTTGTGTAGGGATCGAAGTAGTCATTAGCTCAACCAGCAGGGTTCGAGTAGCATGAATTAGTTACATATATGAACATATATACACACATACATAAATACATACATACATACATACATACATACATACATACATACATACATACAATCATACAATCATACAATCATACAATCATACATACATACATACATACATACATACATACATACATACATACATACATACATACATATACACATACATACATATACACATACATACATACATACATACATACATGCATGCATACATACATACATACATACATACATACATACATACATATATACCTACATACAATCATACAATCATACATACATACATACATACATACATACATGCATGCATGCATACATACATACATACATACATACATTACATACGTACATACATACATACATACATACATACATACATACATACATACATACATACATACATACATACATTCATACATACATACATACAAACATACAAACATACATACATACATACAATCATACAT